ATGGAGTTCACATCCCCTTCAGGTGGGCTTCTTAGAACAATGGAGATTGGAGGATCTTGGTCAAAAGATACAAATCACTTCCCAGATGAGAATAAGCCTGGAATGGTGGTCGAAATGGCAGAATCTCCTACAATGCCATTCGTTACTTGCGATACAGTGGCAGGTGGTCCAACCGGATGTCAGCTAAGCGGGCTGGGCAGCCCTGTGCAGGGTTCACTGGGCCCAGGGCCTGTGGCCATTCTGAGCTGTCAATATGGTTTCCAACATTCTAGAATTGAGGGCAGCATTCCAAGCACTCCTGGCTGCACCCATTCTGATGAAGTTGGACAACACAATGGCAGTAGCCTAGATACGCAGACAGGGGGGCACCCACAGCATTCCCCTCCTGAAGGAGGTTACTCCAATTATGGGGCCTTTCACCTCAAGTTTTTCAGAGTCTAGTGGCATGGGCCTTTCTGCCATAGATAGTCCTGTTTGCCTCCCTGGGGAATACCTAACTACCTCGTTTTTCCTCCAGGATTAGCCACCCACAAGCTATGGGGATAGATGCATTGACAATGGCATGGAATTTCAAGACTGCATACGCCTTCCCTCCAATTCCAGTGATTCTCAGCGCAGAATACTCCATGAGAGGGTAACGGTTCTATCAGTAATACCAGATTGGCCAAAGAGACACTGGTACCCGCTGCTCCGTTCATTGAACATCAGAGATCCATACCCTCTGCCTGTGATATCTGATCTGCTCATGCAGGGACCCATTCAGCACCCCGTTCTGGAGAAACTAAAGATGACAGCCTGTAGCTGGCATTGCGCAAGATACCCCAAGAATCTGCCACTTATTGGAATTCCTTCAGGTGGGGCTGGATATGAGTCTGTCTGTGAGTACTCTGAAGGCTTATGTTTCTGCCCTCTCGGGTTTTACAGGTTTCCTATGGGCATCGGACTCGCTCAGTTCTTTAAGGCACCGAAAGACCACTCAAGCCTCTGATTTTCCCGAAATGGGACTTGTCACTAGTGTTGGACTTCCTCTCATCAGACACCTTCAGTCATTCTGTTTCACTATGGCATCTTACTCTGAAAACAGTGTTTCTCAGGGCGATAACATCAGCCAGAAGAGTCTCGGAACTGGCAGCCTTAGGGTTTAAAGAACCCTTTCTTTCGTTCTTTCTGGATAGGGTCATGCTTAGACTGATGCTAGGATTCATTCCCAAAGTTGCCTCCAAGTTTCACAGAACACAAGACATTACACTCCCGATGCTCCTTTCGGAAAAGTCCCAAGACCCAAGTCAATTGGATGTTGGGCATTCATTGAGAGCAGTGTTGTATTTAGGTTTTATGCTGCCCTAGGCAACACAAAAATTGTCTGCCCCCATGGACACCAACCAACACAACCCCCCTTCCCCCTCCCGTGGAGAGAGCTTGACATTGAAACCCCCACCTCCCCCAACGATAGACACTTATCTTCACAGCTCTGGACATCCCCAGGAACAATACATACACCATCAAGCAGCCCTTAGCCTCCCTCGGATCCCACTTGGTTCCCATGGTGCGCCTGTCCCTTCTTTCATCCCTTTTTCTGGGGGGAGGTGCTGCCCCCCTGAAAAATGTTGCCCTAGGCAAGTGCCTTGTTTGCCTTGTGGTAAATATGTCCCTGATTGAAAGACTATGTGGACACTACTCCGAGCTCAGGAAGTCAGAGCATCTTTTCACCATCCCTAACGGTGCATGGAAAGGCTCGAGAGCTTCTAGTAGAGTAATCGCCTTGTCAAGACCATCTCTTTAGCATACAGAGCGAGAAGCTTGCCTGTTACACAGCGCATTCCACTAGAGGGGTTTCATCCTCATGGACAGCAGTGGGCCGAGTTTCCCCAGAAACAATCTGCAAAGCGGCTACATGGTCTTCTGTTCATACCTTCATGCCTCATTATTGTATAGAAACTGCGGCTTTGACTACTGCTAATTTTGGCTGCGGTGTCTTGGCCTCCTCTTCCAGGCAAATTTTAATTGTTTTTGCATTACCCTCCCGTGTGTGGCTAGTTAAATCCCAGCTGTGCTGACATGGAGCTGTCAGGAAAATGGAAAATTGAATTCAAATACTTACTGTAATTTTATTTTCCTGACAAGCTCCATGGCAGCACAAATCCCAGCCAGTTTCGTAGTACGAGTTACGGAACGCCTAGGCTGAGGTTGGTCAGAAATTTATTAAATTACGTCCTGATCAGGCAGGGGGTGGGCGGGGCCTCACCACCACTTGTGCTGCTATTTTCAGAGTCTTTTTTAAGTAAAACATTGAAACTTTGCCTTCTGCCTGGTCTAAAATTATTTAAAGGATTGTAATGAAGAGGTATGAAGAGACAGAATTAGAGTCATCCTGTCATAGTACAGCAAGTGGTTACTATAGCATGTACATGTTACAGGTGGAACAGCCTCTAGCAGCGAGGGAGATATTGTCGGCATTCTTTCTGCCAGCGATCTGTCTCCTATAGCAATGGGAGTGGAGGTTTCCATCCTGAACAGAGGTACGGAAGCTCAAAAGTCAAGTCAAGTGAACCTACAGTGCCATGCTGAGAGCATAGTGGGGCCCTGTTATGCTATCAGGAGAGGTAGCGGAGACAGGTGGATGTGGAAAAGGCTCAATGTGTCCCTCCTAATTGCAAGTCAACAGTGAAAATGTATATTGTCATGGGGACTGGAGCACAGTTATGGTGCACATGTACACAATATACGGTACATTCATCACTAAGAGAGGAGGCCCATGTTAAGGTTCCTCAGCCTCTGCCTTGTCACAGGGCATATATGAAGATGGCACAGAGTAAAGGTGCCCCATGCATAAAGTAGAGTGATCCTGTTACAGGTGCCCAGCATAGCCTAGAAGAACCCACCCCAGGGTAGGCCTCTCATGTGACCCACACTTGACACCCAACTAGTGGAGAAACATGAGGGAGTGTCACTTGTCTGCCCTCACTTACAACATCATACTATGCATAGCTGGTGCATCTCTGACCATACTAAGAAAACTCATTTTGAGGGAATTTCCCTCTATTGGGCTTAAGTCCCTCTGTCCTTCATTTCTCCTTGGTTGTCCCATCTTCTGGCCTGATGTATAGACCTCTATAATGTACTAATTATCAAAAACATTATACTGCAATAAACCTTTCACCCAAACTCTAAATTATTGTATTTGTTTTTGAAAGTAGGTGAAAAGGAAAAGTAGTAGTGAAACCTTCTTAATCAATAATTTTTTGCATCTTAATGATTCTTCATTATCCATGTAATTGGGGGCATGGTAGGAGGGTGGCTTTTGCCTACATAATTTGTGCTTCATTTTGCCCCTCTTTCCCATCAAGCAAGTGGTGATGATTCAATATCATATTTTTGATCCAACCAATATTTGAACATTTACAATACACTAATTTGTTTCCGTGTTTCCCATCACAAAAAGATGTCAGGTATTTTTCAGCCAGCCACTTGTGGTCCTAGTAGGGTGGAATCTAATAAACATTGGTAGCTTATTAGTGCCTCCAGAAACAAAATTCCCCTTCAAACAACTTGTTCTTATGGCTTATTATTGGATTTTGTGGGGGGTTTTTTTAATTGTCCTTAACCCCAATTTCCTTCATTATCATACAGAATTTGACTTTTTTTTTTATTAGGCCAAAAATATAACCTAATGCAACAAAGCAGAAGTTATGTTTACTGCTCTGAAGTGGTTAAATATATGTAATGTACGTGCAAACTTTTTATCAAGGTAATCATTAGATTGTTGTGAGTTTCAGTATTCAGCATTATGCCTCATAGTGAAACTGTGTTGTAGTGCTGTGTGAGTTTGTACTATAGATCCATGTAATAGCATTAGTAGTCAACATTTCCTTGTTCAGACCATCTCCCTAAATGTCGTGATTAGAAAATAGTCTTACACTAGCATTTGATGTAAAATATGCCATCTGCTCACAACTGTACTTTGACTGTGAGAGTCTATCAATCTTATCAAATGTTTTAAAATACGTATTTCTGAGTATAGTTTGTAATTATAAATACGTATGTACATGAGGCAGCCTTAGTGGGACTGCACAGTGACTGTACTTGACTGCTCTTATCACTAAGGCCTGGTTCATATGTGCGGCTAAAGTGTATGTAAACTCAAAATCAAATTTTGCAGGAATGACTGCTGTGGGCTGGGAACCACCACGGCTGGAATCACTGAAGGACGTCCTACCATCTTTGAAACATTTACATCATTCAAATGTCTTACTACAGCTGAGCGTCTCATCACCGCTCCGTGCTTGAAGTCTTCTGTAGATATCTTCTGTAGATATCTGTGGGTTTTTTACACCTTCGTTCACAATAAACTTCATCACCACACGCTGTTCCATGCACGCACTAACACTGTTGTCACACATCTTGATGAACAGTCTGGACTGGCCCATGACATGTATGCTACCTATCAGTAATAGGACACCCTTGACACTTACTACTGCATGTAGTAAGCCACGCTAGCATCCCTTTTTATGCAAGTAAAATTAAAAGTCCTGGTTTGACTTGAATGCACCTAGTATTTATATAAATATACACAATATTGCCAAAAGTATTGGGACAACTGCCTTTACACACACATGAACTTTAGTGGCATCCCAGTCTTAGTCCGTAGGGTTCAATATTGAGTTGGCCCTGCCCTTTGCAGCTATAACATCTTCAAATCTTCTGGGAAGGCCGTCCACAAGGTTTAGGAGTGTGTCTATGGGAATTGATCATTCTCCCAGAAGTGCATTTATGAGGTCAGGCATTGATGTCGGATGAGAAGCTCTGGCTCACAGTCTCTGCTCTAATTCATCCCAAAGGTGTTCTATCGGGTTGAGGTCAGGACTCGGTGCAGGCCAGTCAAGTTCCTCCACCCAAAATTCACTCATCCATGTCTTTATGGACTTTGCTTTGTGCATTGGTGCGCAGTTGTGTTGGAACAGGAAGGGGCCATCCCCAAACTGTTCCCACAAAGTTGGGAGCATTAAATTGTCCAAAATATCATGGTATGCTGATGACTTAAGAGTTCCCTTCACTGGAACTAAGGGGTCAAGCCCAAACCCTGAAAAATAACTCCACACCATAATCCCCCCTCCACCAAACTTTACACTTGGCACAATGCAGTCAGGCAAGTACTGTTCTCCTGGCAACTGCCAAACCCAGACACATCCAGTGGATTGCCAGACAGAGAAGTGTGACTGGTCACTCCAGAGAATACGTCTCCACTACTCTAGAGTCCAGTGGCGGCATGCTTTACACCGCTGCATCCGGCGCTTTGCATTGCACTTGGTGATGTAAGGCTTGGATGCAGCTGCTCAGCCATGGAAACCCATTCTATGAAGCTCTATACGCACTGTTGTTGTGCTAATCTAAAGGCCACTTGAAGTTTGGAGGTCTTTAGCTATTGATTCTGCAGACAGTTGGCGACTTCTGCTCACTGTGTATTTCAGCATGCGCTGAACCCACTCTGTCATTTTACGTGGCCTTCCACTTTGTGGCTGAGTTGCTGTTGTTCCCAGTTGCTTCCACTTTGTTATAATACCACTAACAGTTGACTGTGGAATATTTAGTAGCAAGGACGTTTCACGGATGGACTTATTGCACAGGTGGCAACCGATCACAGCACCACGTTTGAATTCATTGCGCTCCTGAGAGCGACCCATTCTTTCACAAATGTTTGTAGAAGCAGTCTGCATGCCTAGGTGCTTGATTTTATACACCTGTGGCCATGGAGGTGATTGGAACACCTGAATCCAAAGATTTGAAGCAGTGTCCCTATACTTTTGGAAATATATATCGTATATTACAATATCCAATACATTTTTTATATATATATACAGGAAATATTATTATAGAATTCATGTTTTGCGTAATTTTTCTTTGACATTTGCTTTTTCTGAAAACATAAACTCTTTCCCTCACTCTTTTTTTTTTTATCTCCCCCCCCTCAAGTTTAGCAGAGAACAGGAAGAAAGTGCTTGGGTTCTGAAGTCTTCCACCCAGCAACAGGCTGACGTCAGCGGCCAGACTGCACCAGCCAATCACATTGCCGGAAAGATCGTATGAGCTAAGATTGTATCCTAGCAAAACAAGTACGCCGAAGCTTGACAGTTATTTGCATTTCCTTTGCACTTGCAATGTTGCTTGCAGACAGAAAGTCTCTCGTATTTCAAAGAGAAGGACAAGGAACATGCATTAAAAAAATGAAAAACAAAAACTTCATTAGAAGGACGACTTAGGGATATTTTGTTTCCTGTGAGTTGAGACTGACAAGACGTTTCGTAAACACGTCGACTTTTTTAAAATTAAAGTAGACTTATAGAAAAAAAAAAGCTTTCCCAAGATTTATTAAAAGTGAATGAAACAACTAAAATTGTTCCCTGAGATGTTCTCAGCTATAGTAAAACATGCTAAGGAAGGAGCCGATTTATAATAAATAAGAGCTTTGAAATCTCTCCTTTAAGTCATAGGGAACTTTTCTGTTTCAATATTTTTATTGATTTTGTAAGACCAAAATAACACGAGAGGAGGTCACATTCTTTTCGGAGGCAAATGAAATTTACAATTCTTATGAAAGACAAGTAAAAAGCGAGTGATGCTTTTATTATCGCTTACAGAACTATTGGTTCACTGGTAATTGCACAAATAAACCTAGTAAATATCTCTCCATAAGGCTGAAGATAACAATAAATTAAGCAAAAGAAAAACAGGAAGAAAAAATAAGAGACAAATATGTTTAAAAAAATGTAAGGAGGTGGGATGTACTGGATCCATGGATCACAGGAGTATTCAAATTTGGATTGTGAATTATTCATTATGTTTGACTATCATTTACCATAATCCTGTTAAGCTTGTCATTCACCAATTCTAAAGGAATCACGGATGTATGCCAACATTTTGCTATCACAATTCTGGCAACCGGAACCCCATACAACAGTAATCTGCTAGACCCTCTGGGAACACTAGGAAATGTGTTATGTAGCAGTGCATCTTCAGGAGGTTTTTAAAGCTGAACTCAAGGGAAATTAATTATTCTCCTTCCCATTGGGGCTGCCCCTGCACTGCAGGGGTTAATTACTCCTTTAGGTCTGGTGCGGGCCACAAAAAGTAGTTTTACTTACCCAATCCTCCGCTCCCACAGGCTCCCTCTGTGCTGCTAGACCAGTTCCTGCAGCCTCTTCTTTCCTATGGTCTGGCATCAGTTGTCCTCTGAGGTCATCAAGACCAATGTAGAGCCCGTAGCCCTGCACTGTAAATGAGGATGCTGAGGGACAGTCCATGGGGAAAAAAGAGGAGAGTGCCAGACGCTAGAGAAGAGGAGGGTTGTGTAAGTATAAAAACTGGTATTTTCATCCCCCTAGACCTAAATAAGCAGTTAACCCATGCAGTGCAGAGGCAGCCCCACTGCAATGCAGCATTTTTTTTTCACTGGAGATGGGCTTTAAGATGATTAATTAGAGTCACTGTATATAAAAGGGCATATACAGGCAGTCCCCTACTTATAAACATTTGAGTTATGAACGACTTCTACTTACGAACGGAGGGAGAGGAAATCTACCCGTAGGAAGGGAAATTCACTCCTGTAAGAGGTATCATGGGAAAAAGGTGTCTCCACTGAAGGTTTATCACCAATCCTTGTTTCCACAACAACCCAAAATTTTCAAAATCCAATTGTCACGGGGACAAAAAGTGAGGTTAAATATTCTGAACAGAAGCACAGACAGCAAAACAAACATTACAGGGGTGTTACCCGTCCCTATGCTATCCAAAAAAACTAAAAATACTTTTTTGGGCTGAAGCTACACTTAAAAAATTTACCTGTTCCAACTTACACACCAATTTAACTGAAGAACAAAACTACAGAACCTATCGTGTTCGTAACTCGGGGACCGGCTGTACTCTCGTCCTAAACCTCTGAGACACAGCCACCATGTATAATACATAGTACCTTCAGTAAGGTATTCCATAAAACATCTAGATTACATTCAGCTATTTTAGTAGGGACCAAGTACCATCGAAGCATCAGTTTACAATTTTCCTCTTCCAATGTAGTATTGACCGACACTTTAGACATATTAGCAACTATGCTGTGCCACTAAAAAAGTTCAAAAGCCTTGTTCAAATTTTTTTCCCTATAAGTCATATAGGACAATTTCTGAGTTTTCAAATGTAATAACGTATATAATGTGCCCTTTGACCTTGGATAAATGCCTACACAGCATTTCAAAGGAGGTTCATAGTGCATCAGAAGCATGTTTACTTATCTGCTGTTGTAAAAAACCAATATATTTGCCAGAACCAAAATATCTCCTTTGTGGGTAATTGATGCTTTGTCTTAAAATAATTCATTTTCAACCACCCCACCAGAAAAATATATATTTTAAAAAACTTAGTTGCTTAAAAAAAAAAAAAACACAGCAGCACTCACCAATATTAGGATACTAGAATATCTAAAATACATATATTAATGAATTATTATTAGTATTATACAGTACTTATATAGTGCCAACAGTTTGCTCAGTGCTTTACAATATAAAGGGAGAAAATACAGCAATGATACAGTTCAATACTAGAGGGTTAGGAGGGCTCTGCTCCTTTTAACTTACAATCTAAGAGAGAGGGGCTGGTGGTACAAAAGGTCAGGGGCGGACTGACCATTTGGAAACTCGAGCACTGCCCGAGGGCCCGGGGTCAGTAGGGGGCCCCATGAGATGCCCCTGGTACCTTATTCATAAGCTTTTTTGAGTTTGGGCAAGGACACAGGGGCCCCATGATCCCCTATTGCACGGGGGCCCCATGAGTTGTCAGTCCGCCCCTGCAAAAGGTAATAACTGTGGGGAATTAACTGATAGGAGAGATAGAAGATTTGGTTATTAGCTGAAGGCAGGATAGGCTTTCCTGAAGAGAAAGGTTTTCAGAGATCGCAGAGTAGGCGATAGTCAGATAGATTGTGGTAGAGAGTTCCAGAGGATGGAGGGGCTCTGGAGAAGTCCTGGAAACGAGCATGGAAGGAGGAGACAAGGGAGCTAGAGAGCAGGAGGTCATGCAGAGATGAAGGTTTGGATGATATTTGGTGACAAGATTGGTGATGTAATTTGGGGCAGAGTTATAAATGGCTTTATATATTATTGTTAATGTTTTGAATTTTATCCGTTGGGCAATGGGAAGCCAGTGGATGGATTGGCAGAGAGGGATGGCTGATACAGAACAGTTAGTAAGGTGGATGAGTTGGCAGCAGCATTCATGATAGACTGAAGAGGGGATAGCCTGCGAGTAGGTAGGCCAATGAGGAGGGAGTTACAATAGTCAAGGCGAGAGATAACCAGGGAGTGAATAAGTTGCTTAGTGGTTTCAGTGGTTAAAAATAGGAGTATCTTGGAGATGTTGCGGAGGTGAAGTCTACATGATTTGGACAGTGATTGGATTTAGGGCTGAAAGGACAGATGGGAGTCTAGAATTACACCTAGTACCCTGGAATGAGGGGAAGGAATGATGGTTGTATTATTGGTCTTGATGGAGAAGTCAGGGGAGGGGGCACGGGCTGGGGGGGATACTAAGAGCTCAGTTTTAGAAAGATTGAGTTTGAGGAAGTGGAGTGACATCCATGCTGATATGTCACTTAGTAAGTTAATAATGTGAGAGGAGACTGAAGGGGTGAGGTGAGGAGTAGAAAGATAGATTTGTGTCATCAGCATAGAGATGGTACTTAAAGCCAAGGGAGTTTATCAAGTGACCAAGGGAGGAGGTGTAGATGGAGAAGAGAAGGGGTCCAAGGACAGAACCTTGAGGGATCCCTACAGAAAGAGGAAGTGGAGAGGAGGAGACAGAGTAATAGGTAACAATGAAGGAGCACTGCGATAGGAAGGAGGAGACATATAAATAAAAATTATGCTGCTCAGTCTCTTTAAATATAAAAATTAATGTGAACACATATATTTAATGTAAAAACAATAGCATAACACAAGTGTAAAGAGTCCAAAATAGGTGGAAACAACCTCCAATGTAAAAAATCACTTCTTTTGTGTCACCAAGAACTCCAATACTCCAACCACCAACACACCAGGCTGCTTACAAGAAGCATAGACTTCACTAAATAGGAAGTCTCATAGCACTCTATATGTATTCGCCCCGCTATTAGAGTGAAAATCTCCAATTTTAAAAAAAATCCCTTATTGGTCCACTATTCAAAAGAGTGTAAACTAATTTCTGAAACAAAAATAGGATTCCCAAAAATGGTGCTAGAGTTGTTTGTAAGGACCTGAAACCATGTTTGTCATTTATTCTATCCCACAATGACAGGGAATGTGATAATAGGGGACAAAGAACTGAAGGTCTAAGTTTCAAATGAATCCACAATAAAGTGTCTGTAGAGTATGACTTGCATGATACAGCCTCCAGTGGACCCACTGAGAAGTCTCTGATGCTACATTACATAATGCCAACTGTGTGGCTTGAAATATTAGAGTAAACCAAAGCCTGCAAGTGTTTTATCATTTACTTTGTGTCCCCTGAAATCTGTCAATATCATTCTGATGGGAGGAGGAAGCGTTCTAAGCAGTTATAGAATTTTTGGCAAAAGATTCATCTCTAGAGCAAAAATTCTGTCAAACCAAGAGGGCCACAATATTGAACACTTCCAAAGATCTTCCACGAGGCATTTAAAAATCAGCAAATAGTTAACTTTGTAAAAATTCTTCACAGGCGTAAGATTAATACCTAGGTAAGTAATGGGCAACTTAAAATAAAATGACCAGAGTGCATTGAGATGGTCTTATAGAACACTATAGAAAGCTACAGTGCAGGCATAACTAGTGCACTGAAG